TTTGTGTTCTGTCAGTCTGGAGAACAGGTGATATTGTTTGCGGTCTAGTTTGATCCCATTATGTATGTTTGTGTTCTGTCAGTCTGGAGAACAGGAAAGGAGGAGATAGGAGGCAGGGGTGATCTCTCTTTGTTTGTAAATGCTTAATGCCTTTTTTTTTCCCCGTTGGACGAAATTAGCACTTCGTCAGAGATATGGCAACGCGGACGCGTGAAAGGCATAGAAGGGGCATTAAATGAAGGAAGAAATATGGCAACGCTCTGATGCAGGGTTGACTATTTGCACAGGCTCTGCCATGCCTTTGCCTAGAATCAGATCTTTTTCAGATTGATTGTACGTTTTCTGGAACCGTAATAGTGGTAGAGAGGCGGGACAGTGGGAACATTCTGCTGTGAAGGCTGACAAGCTGGGACAGCGCACGCGACGTCTTAGACAGAAGTTGAAGTTGAGTTCTTTTGATGAATGCGAGATTCTTTTCCATGCTGTTGAGATGATGATGATCAGGAAACCGGTGGGGAGTTAATTGTAGTAACAGGTGGAGTCCAGCATGCGGGAGGGAGGCGGGAAGACTGGTGGATGTTGTGTGGAGACTGGTGGATGGTGTTTTGTGGAGACTGGTGGGTGGTGTTGTGTGGAGACTGGTGGATGGTGTTGTGTGGGGGAGGGAGGTAAGTGGAGAGGAGGACAGATGGAGAGACGCGGGATGATGCAGTAGGTAGAGGGTTAGAATTGGATATCCGTGGATGGGAAGAGAGAAATCGGATTTATGCATACTATATATCGTTGAATAGTAGTGCCCAATAAACTGTGGGCCGAGAGAGAAGAGAACACGAAACGAGGGGCTCTGACAGACTGTTTTGTCGGTGTTTCACTGAGCTGCCACGAGGCTGAACTCTCCAGTCTGCGGTCTGTTAGCTGATGGTCCTGACAGTGAAAATCTGCCGTAACGCCGGTTGCGGTTAAGCATCAACGACGGCCTGACAACTGATACCTGAGGTGGTTAAATCTCCCCTCACTTTACGTCTGACAAGAATTCTAGCAGACTAGCTCTCACCTATGTTAGAGCGAAAAAGTACAGATTGAAGGTTCACACTCCATCATAAGCCAGCCAGCAAAGCACCCATGAAATCATGAATGGTCTCTCGCAGCCAGAATACACTCCAGGCACGTAGCTGGCACGATAGGCACACGGTGGAACTATATCTCCCCTCACTGAACGTCTGACAAGAATTCAAGCAGACTATCGCTCACCTATGTCAGAGCGAAAACAGGACAGATTGAAGGTTCACACCCCATCATAAGCTAGCCAGCGAAGCACCCATGAAATCATGAACGGTCTGTCACAGCCAGAGAATACACTCCAGGCACGTAGCTGGCGGTATAGGCACACGCTGTAACTGCGCTGAAACAGTTTGTTACATCCCCTCGTTTGTCGTCTTCTTCTCCCTCTGCCTACAGTTAAGCTGGCAGCTCTATTTGACGATACATACATGTTTTTGTGAACGTTCAGCCTCCTCAGGAGGAGCTGAATCTCTCACGAAACAGTTCATCACAACCTCTTGTTTGGTGACCCCTTTCACCTCTCTGCCTACAGGCATAGACCCCATGTCACAGACCGTCGTTGTTGTACTCTTCTCCCCCTCCGGATTACCTGGCAGTTCATAGGTTTCAGTCTGTACAGACTTTTGTATGCAGTCACGGTGTGTCGGTCATACTGTTTCGATGTACATAACGGGTACCCTAGCAGCGGCTGCACACCGGGGTTGGATGCTCCCAAGTATCACGTGGTGGCACCGCGGGCTCTCGAGGTCTCAGCCTTCTGACGAGTCGTCCCAACTCCGACGAGGATTCTTCTTGTACTTGTCACCCTTTCTGCCAATGTATTCTACCGTGCAGTTCTCCGTCCAGTCTATTCACTATTCGTCTATGTACATATTGTTTATGTTTCTATGTACAAAAAATATGAAATACATGCATGTCGGCATGTCTGTAGTAAAAATTTGCAATACATACACGTGGGCATGTTCATGCAGACGTGGCACATCTGGATATATATGAACCTACGGACTCGAATGGAAGCCTATCAGCTCTCCGCTCTTCTTGCACTTCTCCTTTTTAACTACTACTACGTGTCATCGGGCAGTTTTCAGGCTGTCTATTTGGGGTAGTGGTGCCCAACCCCAAGTGGGGTCGTGGCGGATTATCATGATCAGTTCATATTTGACAACTCCTTGTGAAACAGGCGGATTATCTGTTTGGGGTAGTCAGAGAAACTGAGAAAAGAGTGTCGTAACCCCTTGTGTCTTGTCCTTTCCTTTCTGTCTACGGTTCATGGGCTGATTCTCTGATTATTTGTGGATGTGTATGCATCGATGAACATGTGCTCATAAAGTTCTCTGAGTGTTTCTTTGGCCGCCACTCATCCGTCATGCGCCCCTTGTGCGTCTTATTTCTGATCTAATGCGCGTCGCATCTAGTTTGCATCAGTCAACATGGAAACACGTGTGAAGCGCACGGGGGAGATGGTGAGAGGCAGATGACTCTGAACGAAAGAGTGAACTCTCTCGCTTGACTCAAGCCATCGGTATTCTGGAGTGGAAATGTATCCTCTATTTCCGAAATAGCTGGATGTGCCTACGATGGTGTGGTGGGTACATGCGAGGAAGGGGTTATGGCGAGGCAGGTAGAAAGATGAAGGGATTTGAGAACAAGACGGTGGGAAGATAGAGGCGTTAGAGTGAAAATAAAGCGGCGCTACTGAACTCGCGTTCTCTCTCTTGCTCCGGCTCCTGTTGGAGCCAGCTAATGACATGAGTGTCTGTGTTGCTCTGTGTGTGTGTGTGATGATGGGTGTGTGATTGTGTGTGTGTGGCTTGGTGGTAGGTTCTTCTCATAGTTGTATTTTTTTCCTCGAAGCTGATTTCCGCAGCCTTGTCCTCCTATGCCTGGCAAAATTGTCGTTTCTTATGTTTTGTGATCCCTTGGCAGTGCTTCCACATGATACAGAAGACGGAATCTCACACCGAATGCTTATCTCCTACACGATGAGTGTTCGTCACTTCTGTTGTCCTTCTCTTCGCATTCCATTTGCTGACCTGCGATGGTCCCTGGGCTATCGGTATTGTCTATGTTCCATTTGTCTTCTTCCCCCCTGTGCGTTTCGCGCTCTTGCTGCGACAGCATAGGTGACGGGTTTCACTGGCGAGGAGGGCCTTACACTTGATTGGAGAGTGTCCTGTGTGATGCGCGTCATTGCCCTAATTAAGCACAAGACGTCTTTGGGTATGTCAATCAATCAGTCGCTAAGTCAATCAACCATTAATAAACCAATCTGTAAGCCATCAATCAATCAATGAGGCGATACATGTCACAGAGAGAGGGAGAGAGAGAGAGAGAGAGAGAGAGAGATCAGGCAATACATGTCACACACACACACACAGATGTGGACTGGCGAGAGAGAGAGAGAGAGAGAGAGAGAGAGAGAGAGAGAGAGAGAGAGAGAGAGAGAGAGAGAGATGTGGACTGGCGGTTCGGTGTGTGAGAGTCTATTCTGTTTTGGTGTTAAGAGGGATTAGGAAGATGCCACTGTGTCGGCTCCCGGTTCTCCAGCGTTTCTCTTTGACTCGTGCATGCAAACATATGTTTTCCGGATGTCTTTTCCAGATGCAGTCCGGTATGGTTTCTCCCTGCTGATTATCTTACCTAATGCAGTCCGGTATGGCTAAAGGTATATCATCGGGGATAGGAATCCCTTCCGCTAGTCTAAAGGCCTGGTGTGTTTCAACCTTGTTGTTGGTCATCTGCACGTGCTCCTTCCCAATGTGCGGGTTGATCTGTGAGTGCTGAGGCGTGCCTTGTTGCGGGTGCTTCCAGCTTGCCTTGTTGTCGCTTTGCGACCGCGACCTTGCCACCCGTTGCGCGATCGCCTCTCTGCCTCTCTTGCAGTTTGTGCACCTGGTCCTGCTCCCGCTTTATCCTACCTTACATTCTTCACTGGAATGGAATGCCCGCGCGTTCTAGCTGATATTGTCGAAATTGTGTGGCTAGAGCAATAATGAACGGGTGCTCTACAGCACAGCTATAATAGCCCGGTGATCTATTCATGCGATCGTCGTTGTGCACTTTGAAGGGTTCTCCTGGTGCTACGTACGCAAACGTAAAAACAACAACAAAAATGATGCAAAAGTAAAAACAACTGAAAGTACGAAAGAAAAAAAAACGAACCAGGAGAACAAGCCCGAAGGGTTCCATAGGCCCAAAAACAATTCCCATAAACCCCTGTTGACCAAAATCTTTAGTCAGGACCCTACCAACCGGCCCTTACCTAGAAAAACGGCGTACCTCGCACAACCCCCCGTGCTTTGCCCTTCTGAAACTTAGCCCAAGTAAAACCTGGCCTTGCAATCCATGAGCATCTCTTAGCCTCCTCGTATAAGAGACCCAACAGTACAAAGACAATATCAGCCTAGTTGTGATGTTCTCACTACCAATACCAGCCATAGCTGTGCTTTTCTCGCTACCAACACCTACGAAGACTTTACACAGCCCCTTAGTTGTCATGGCAGCCTCCCCCAGTTTGCCACGTGGTTGCCTTCCTCGAAGAAATTCCAGATCTCACTACCTGGCCGCACGCTCCTGCTACAAACAGGTCACAGGGCTGTGCTGAAGACGGTAGCACAGGTCATAGTCGTTCTGGCATTGGCGATCCAAGAGCTTTGCAAGGCAACGGGAAGGGTTTTCCCAACTCTAATTTTATTTATTCATTTATTTATTTTATTTTATTTTTTGCACCCGGGGAGGGGCTCCATCTATTGGTGCGGAGCATCACCTGTTGGAAAAGGTTCCAGCGTGCCATATACAAACTGAATTTGGAATATATCAGAAAACACATTTGGGGGGGGTTCCTGCCAGCACTAATTACCCTGGGGTCCAGGGGATTGACTGAGCAGGATGTTGGGGGGAAGGGAACGCCTTCACTCTGAACCCGGCGCCAGATATCTACTGCTACTCGCTAGTTCCTCCCTCCCCAACCAGCCCCAATCCCACATCATGACGATCTGTTATCAGCCACCTCGACAATCTTGACTCTGACATGAGAAGAAACTCAGAAGCCGTGTAGGATTGTAGAAAAAACCCGGATAAGCTTTACAGATAATTGTGTTACGATCCTGGCCAATGTCCAAGTACAAATTCCCGAGTACAATGCTGTCTAATTCCAAAAAAAATGAATGTACACACCAGCAAAAGCCCAATGATAATTCCCCCTTCTTCTTGCCAACCACCGGCTTATATGTTCTCTTTTTTCAAACAATAAATAATAATGGTAACTCTTCTAATTCCAGCACATCAAGAGGTCCAGCATAGCCATGGCCGCACTACTCTCTCTCGTCTCCATCCAGGCGGAGGCCAAGATGGGGTACCCCGGGCCTTGTCCTGACGTGTAAAATACAACGCAAAGCAGCTATGGCCTCTTCCTCTCAGGCCGCCCTCACTGACTCTGCGTCGAAGCTTCTCGATGCAGCTCTACCTCAATGGGGGCCTTCCAGATGCAGTGCCCACTCAGCTAAAGCGGGAATTTCAGCAGGGCATAACTCAGAAATCAGCTTTGTTCCTAGTCTGTAATTTGGCTGGTCCTTGCACTCTCCCCTCGAGAGCGCTGTCCCTTCGTGCGAGTAACTTGCTCTGAGTTCCTGACCAGCAAACGGCAAAGAGATTTTGTGTATATTCAGTAGGAAAGAGATTGTGTATATTCGGTAGGAAGGAGATTTTGTGAATATTTAGTAGCAGCGAGTTTCGTAGAGTTGGTTCGAACAACATTGGAAGCTATAAGTGTCGCTCGTATGCTTTGACAACACGAGGTGTGCTTTGCAGCAGTTCTTTCTTTGAGATCGAGTTGAGATCATNCGTATGCTTTGACAACACGAGGTGTGCTTTGCAGCAGTTCTTTCTTTGAGATCGAGTTGAGATCATCCAGCCGGTGATAAATGAAAAGAACTATGTACTGTCTGTCACGTCCTTTACGGGCATGAGTTTCAATTCTATCTTGTGATTGCGGTTGATTGCATGAGGGATCATCGGCTCGGGATAATCGAAGGAAGTGGAATCAAGATGCGAAAACAATTTAGACAAGTGACATGCTGGGTACGTGTACGTATCTGAGGGGGCACACCAATCACATATGAAGGATTGAACTGATCATCACCCAGCACCATCGGTACATCTCATGGACCATAGTAGAGAGGGAGACGTTTGTGTGACAACCCCGTCTTCTTTTGAAAATTCAGACCTCTTGACCCAGAAACAAGTTCCCACTTTGAAAGTCGTCGGTCTGCACTTGATGTTTTGATAATGGATCACAGCATGGTGTCGTTTGGTCAGTGCTGAAACAACTGCCTTGGGCAAGTGAATCATACTTGGTGCTGTAGCCGGGCTTGACAGGTGTCAGACCAATTGGCTCTTCAGGGAACAAATACGGGAGTGGATTGCGGATCTTCCAATGGAAATGCAGCCTGTGCGGCACCATACCAGTGGAAGAATGAATGAAGTCGACATACGGTGCTTTGACCGCATACAACTCTTCATCCCAAGTTTACAGGTCAGGGAGAATTAAGAGCGCGAAGAAGCTGTGTCACCGCTTGATAGATTTCCTCGCCCAATCCGTTGTTTCCTCGGCCAAACCGATCACAGCTTTGGGCAAGTGAATCATACTAGAGTCGACGGCTTTGGGGTGATTGACTAGATGTCATTTTCAGTTTCACAGCATTGAAGTGGGCGTCCCGACTCCCGATCACTCACAAGGGCTTTCGGAGTTCGGTATTGCATAATGTGCTTCTGGTGGAGGTCATGGATCACAAGGTCAGTTGAGGAGGTGTGAGGTGGCAATGGAATCAGATTCGTGAACCCGGAGAAATGGGCAACGATCACTATCACTTGTGAATATCCATTCATACTCAATTTACCTATGTTCCTGAAATCAATGAAGACGGACCGTGAGGGATTGTCGGGAGTGAGAAGATGTTTCGACAGTTTTGATGTTCGTATCCGACAGTTTTGATGTTCGTTTCCCATGGTCGAGGATCGACTCCCTAGTTGTGTTCCTGACACCTCGAGGGTACGCTGTCATGGAGCTGATCCATGACTAAATATTGTCCTTACGGTCATATGCTTGGATGATAGCTGCACCGCCTTCCTGTCCATATAGGGACTGCTATAGCTGAGACCAATACCTGCTGGTTTTGATATTGAGGCTGCAACAATTGCAACATTTCCTGCGACTGCTGCAGGTGAGTTGCTGAAGCAACAACGAAATCTGCACCTACTGCAGGTCTCGAAAGGCGTTAACCACACTCAGAGAGTGAGAAGAAGAGACATGGAGGGGTAGGGACAGGCTGACCAGGCAGGAGGTAGAGGAAGGGGATTAAAAATTTAAGCCTTGTGCAGATTTGTCATGTGCCGCAACTGGTCACGATTCGCCTTGGCTATATCTCCAATCTTAAACTACCAGTACTTGGCCCAGCTATCGTCCGCGGCGCTTTCCCGTTAACGCGCGTTGTGTTTAGGGCTTCGGGGTACCGGACCTCAATGGCTGGAAGCGCTAGCCAAAACAATTTTGAAACGGTAACCCGGTGCTTCGGCGAAAATCGGTGCGCAGGGGCACATTCGAGGCTCCACATCGATAGCTGGGCCAAGTACTGGTAGTTCAAATGTTTAGTTCACTCACATGGTCAAATAGTTTGGACACCTGACTAGGGAATTCACTCAACATGTGAACATATATGAGAGCACACACGTAGGTGACCAGATGCCACTTGACTTCAGAGTCGGTCACGGAGGGGACAGTCTTAAAGACAGTCTCATGGTCCGTAATAACGGATTCCCGCTTGGCCTCCTTGGGCTTCTCAACTCTTTCCAATGCCTAATTAAAGAGGGCATCGAGAAGGGGTTTGTCCTCGTCATGGACTGCGTCCATCTGGGCTTTCAAACCCACTGTAGCCTCCGGTGACGTGATAGTCCTACCGAAATTCTCAGTAGGCAGGACAGGCCTCCCAAGGTGAGTGCTCTCCCTCCCTCTCTCTTGTTTTTGTGCACGGTCTCCACGGACATCGAAATATGAACCAAACGTACTGAACAACATGAAGCGAAGGTAGAACTCCTAGCCGGAGCAACAATACATTTGGACTAGAGAGCAGCCAATACAAAACATAAATAAAAAAACAGTTTAAAATGAGAGTTTTGATCCAGCGTCTCAGCCTGATTAGACCAAGTACGACATCCCCTCGTGGCAAATCGCATCAACTCCGTGAATGTAGAACAAATTCAGACCTCGAGTAACGACATGCAACAATGAAGAATTGAGTGGTGTATAGGCTGCGAACCAAGTGGCGGACTGTGTGGTGAAGTATGCAAAACGTCTCAGCCGAGATCCCCTCGGCAGCAAGGGCTCTAACCAAAGTATCAACTCTAAAATTTCCAGTCAGAAAGAGAGTGAAATTGACGTCAACAGATTTGGGACTAAGTTACTGTCCTTGTTTGGGCCTGTTCCCACCTCGTCCTTAAGGGTCCCACGCTGGCCTTGGTCGGGTCCCAACCAAAAAAGGCCCAAACAGTTGGCCTTTGTCGGGTGCCACGTTGGCCTTGGTCGGGTCCCACTTGGAGCTACTCTGGCTGTGACCGGGTCCCAACCAAGAAAGTTCCCAATGGTGCTACTCTCTGCCTCTACCGTACTGGAAAAATAAATTTTGACTGAACATACTAACTACAACTGTCCAAAAATGAAAAAATGAAGCGTTGTAGAAAGATATGGCGCTCAATTCAAGATACTTGATCCATCCACTTATCAGGTGACAATGCAGTTTGCCCCGCTCATGCACACAATCAAGATCGTAGAGGAGTAGGAAAGAAATCCAGAATTACACCAATGGGTCAATCAATACCATGCACACATGGATGGGCATCCAGTAGGTGCATGGCATTTACCTGAGTGACTTGAGCTTCAAGATGAAGTACACCTCATCCCCCTCTCATATGGTCCTCCTGACCCCTGTGGTACCCCTACACTGGTGTCCTCTTTACTAGGCAGGTCTTGCTGCAAGACCAAAGTATGACGCCGGGTCCCCCATTGATGTTGAAGGCCAAAGTAGCAGAATGGCTACTTCCCTCAAGCTTGCGTACTTGAGGGAAGCCCGAAAGTCGCAAAGTGGCTGCAGGTGCAAGTGCCTCTCACTGTCGCCTCCCACCAAATGTTGCACGAAGTTTCTTGAAGTGTTTCGCCGGCCCAAACTTACACTCGTACAACCTGGCCAGGTCCAGTGTCGTCCCTACATGATCTGGCCAGATGAGAGCAACTTCCCCATACCATGCTGCCCCACTTTTGACTAACGAACCAGCCCCAAAGTAAGTGGTTGCCCTAAACCGCTTGGTTAGGGTTGGACAGCAAAGTAAGGACCCTGCCCTAAACAACTTGCAGAATGGCCGCTTCCCTCAAGGGAAACTACGCGGGAGTCACAAAAATGAGTTATAATTGCACACTGGCCAAGATACAGTTTCGAATCGCAGTTTGGGCAATGTATACAACCCAACTTTCTGGACAGGTAGGGTGCCCGTAGTGCAATTGCAAACTGTATCTTGCCCCATTCTGCAATTATAACTCGTTTTTGAGGCTCGGACATACTGGTGGTTTAACCAGGGGAAACTACGTCGGAGTCATAAACACGAGTTATAATTCCACTCTGGCCCAAGATACAATTTCGTACTGCAGTTTGGGCAATGTTTATAAACCAGCTTTCTGGCCAGGTAGGATGCCTGAAGTGCAATTGCATACTGTATCTTGGCCCATAGTGCAATTTTTTATAACTAATTTTTGTGACTCACTCGTAGTTTCCCCGAAAGAAAAAGAAGAAAAGACACAATTAGGGTCTCGATAGACACTCCTAAGGGAATCCTAAATTATTTAGGATGAGTCCTAAAAGAATTTTAGGATTTGCTGCGTCGTCGTCACACGCAATCCTAAAAAAACGTCTTTTAGGAATCGTCTTAAATGGTCTTCCACGGCCAGTTGTCATATAAGTATATGCAGCCGTGTCGTTGATGTCCACCCATTGCAGCCTGGTGTCCGTGCTTTAGACGGTGGTGGGCCCTGCCCGGTTGAGGAGGGTGAGGTGGGAAGTGCGAGAAGGACAATGTTCGAAAATTCGAATTCTAATTTTTGCGGACGCAGGGAGGCGGGCTGGAGGACTTGTAGGCGACGTGTGGGACGTACAAATGACGGCGGTGGTGATTCGGTTGGTGCGGAGCTCCATCTTTCGCGTTTGTGCGAGTCATGAGCGGCGTGCACAGTGTCGTGTGGGAGGGAAGAGCAGCGGGGTCATCTTCGGCGGCGGTCGCAAGCGTTATCCGTGAGAGGCGAAAGGGCGACGGAGATGGACGTTCGCGGCGGCGGCCATTGGTTGCATGATGAAGAGGAGGCGGTGGCGATGGCGGTGACTGCCGTGGTCCTTAACTCGGTGGGCGACATGTCGTCCACGGAAAGCCAGAAGCGTTTGCAGTTGCAGAAATGCCGAGCACAGTTGCGACGTGTTGTCGAAGCGCCGGATTGCGTGGTGACGTCTGAAGCGGTCTTGCAGTTGTGCGCGGCGCTCTACTCCGGCGTCTTCCCGCGGGAAACGCCGCGATGGTGGATCAAAAGAAGGACTGGTGGAACTTGGGAGGATCTCTGGCTGTGTGACGATGCGACAGAAGACTACTTCCACGACAAGTTGCGTATGTCCAGGGCTGTCTTCATCCAGATCGTTGCCGCATGCCCCGCTCACGTCGAGAAGAAGGTCACACATTACAAGATGCCATTGCCCGCGGAGCAGGTCATTGCTTTCACGTTGTGTAGGTGGGCCTCCGGGGAGACGTTCGAAAGTGGCACGTCAGCCTTCGGCATCGGCGGGGTCACTGGAGTTGCAGGCTGTCGGCGATGTAACTTCGGCGCTGTTGAAGGCGTACCCCGAATCCATCAAGTGGCCTATTGGGCGGAGACATGTGCAGATAATGCGGGCTTTTCGGGAGAAGGGTTTCCCTAACTGCTTCGGCGCAATCGACTGAAGGCACGTGTACATTGACAAGCCCGTCGGCACGCTGTCAGATAACTACTACGACCGCAAACAGAAGTTCTCCGTTCAAGCGCAGGTGGTAGTCGACTTGGATCTGCGTATCCGGGACGTCCACGTTGGATTCCCGGGAAGTGTGCACGACGTCCGTGTCCTGCAGAACTCCCATTTGTGGAGGTGCGCAGAAAGCGGCGAACTTTTCGACGCCCCCCCGGAGAATCTGCCACACGGTGTCGTCACGCGAGGTTACCTTCTCCGCGACAACGAGTACCCTGTTGCCTGTCCATGGATTGTCCAGCCGTACGGAGGAATCGAGCAACGTCCTGACGAGGAACGTTTCGATACGCGGCAGAAGGTGGTGCGCGGGTGTGTGGAGAGGGCGTTCGGGCGGTTGAAGTGCATGAAACTGGGATACATCATTCGGTAATTGAAGACAACAAATGTTAATTGACTACTTTTGCAATGCGACGACCGACAACGAACGATTGCAAGTCATTCCAGCTTCTCAACGTTATCATCTATTTCAGAACTCACATTAAGCACATGGAAAACAAATCGATGCAAAACCATTCCAGCACTTCAAGGTAATCATCAACTCAAAATGAATTAGAAAATGCATGTCCCGTTCTGTAATGTTGGAGACCACCCACTCTAAACAATAACTACACGGCACGACATCGTCGGTGAAAGACCGCACTCCCTCCGGAGGCGCAACACAAACCAACCCTAAACCGTGCAACGAGTAATGGCGACACACGGCACCTGCGAACTTGACGTCATCGATCATGGAGCACTGGACGACAAACTGCACACTAGTGGCGATCCGAGAACACGAGGAAGCACAAAACAAACCCAAAGTCCATTCTCGATGCAATGATGCACCACGACACACTCCCACCTCCGCCCTGGTGTGCGAACGGGCGGACTACTGACCATCCCACGGTAGGCTAATCATCGATGACATAAACACTACTGTGTCGCCCGCCATACCGAACGTGGCGCTCCCACGTTCTTCACGACCCACACCCCGCAGTTGCACGCGCCTATATCAAAGCCAGTTGGTCTCGAAGTGCATCCCTCAACAAGTCCCCGTCGACGTTCGTGCTTTGTTGCCTTCCGCCCGCGACGTTTCCAACCATACCCAAGTCCACTCTATGTCGGACGCCGTTTTCATCCACCTCCCACAGCAAGTTCTCGTCGAACTCGATCCCCGCGTCCAGGAGGATGTTGTGGAGAGTGCATACGGCGACGAATTGCTGCGCAACAATTGATATCGTTCACACACACCTCCCGTTCGTCTCGACGCGAACTTCAAATGGGTGATTGTCCAAAATAACCTCCCCCCCCCGGCTGCCACACCAATGCACGTCGTCATCATCAACGTCTAGGGAAGGGATAAATAGGCGCACGAACTGAACCTTTCATAAAAAAAAAACAAAAAATAAAACAAAAAAAAGTACTGGACCGCTGTTATGACCGTAAGCAGAAATTGACCGTCTACTGCCATGCCCGCCAAACCAAAATTAAAGAAAATATAGCGCCGCCTACAACCAGTGACGGGCACCATGCAGGGCCTTTCGCAGCTTCTTTCACATCGCCAACTCGTCATGACAGTCGTCATCATCATCGTCGTCACCGTGGTCGTCATCGGCTCATCATCACCATTATCATCATTATCGTCATCATCATGATCATCATCGTCGTAATGATGAAGTTGACCGTCATTCCCATAATCATCGTCATCATCATCATCATCATCATCGTCATCATCATCATCATCATCATCGTCATCGTCATCAGCATTATCATCATCATCATCATCATCATCATCATCATTATGTTTATCATCGTCACCATCGGCATCATCATCGCCATCATCATAATAATCGTCATCATCATCATCGCGGCGTTTTCATCATCGTGACATCGTCATGTTCGTCCTCGCCGCACACCCCTCTTTCCACTTTCACTCCTCCACCTCCTTGTCATCTTCGGCGTCGTCGTCGGCGGCTGGCCCTGTACCCCAACCACTGAAGCACTTTCGCCTTGTCGGGCCCTGACAAGCTGGCGTCATGTTGGAACTTAAGGCCGCAAGGCGCCTAGTCTATCAGGAGGTTCGGGGAGTGCCCCAACGTCACCTGCGCCTTCCCCAGCTGTTCGGTCGCGGAGTTGGCTGTGGACATGATGTGTCGTCGACGATCGAACAAACGGTGCATGAACGCGACGAGCAGGGGCTTGGCGAGCATGTTGGCGAAGTAGAAGACTTTAAAGTGCGAACGAAGATCATCTCCCGCCATTCGCATGATCCACATGCATTCCTCCAACAACTCCTTGAAGCTTTCAGCCAGACGAGACAGACGTTCATGTGCGACGTGTCCCCATCGACGTTTTGGGCCGTTTCGACTGTCGTGCTGAATGTCGCGATCAGTCGCATCACAGTTGCCTCCTGGTACGCCGCCATCTCGTCGTTTGCCGGCGTGTCTTCAATGTGCACCCCAGCAAACCATAGCGGGAGGTCCATCCCCATGTCTAGCGTGTGTGCGCAAACGGCGGGGCTGACGACGTTTCTCCACTCCTCACCATGCCACATCGCGCGTGTGATGTCGGTCGCCACAAATTCCGGTACGTACTCGAAGGCGACATTGTATCCTCGTTCTCTGGAGCTCGATTTGAAGACCAGCCATGCAAAACCCGCAAGGCCACACTCTGGACTTTCGATGCGCGGCTCAATGCTCCCTGCAACTGCCCTTCATTCGTGATCCTGATGTGCGCGATGTTGGATCTGGGCATGGCGACGCTTCTCGGGACGTTCGGTAGTGGAAACCCACTTGCGACGGCGACGAGGTGCTCACGTGTCTCGTTGATGATATTGTAGAGTCTGCGCCCCTCCCCTGACGTCCAGAATGATTTGTCGTCGACCCGCAGTCTCGCCTGCTCCGCCAGATCTTTCGCTAGTCTGCCTTTGTGCACCCTGTTGATGAGAGGTTTGTCATCCTCGCCCGCCCTCTTCTTCTCCGCACGCGCAACCTCCGTTGAGCTCGCCACGTCCTCCCCCCTGCGGTCTTCCCTCGTCGCCCCCTGCGGTGCTCCTGCCACAACTCCCACATTCGCACCTGCGTGGCGGGGTTGCGGCGGTTCCACCGCCGTCGCAGCGGTGGCCGCAACATCAGATCTGACATTGTCGCCCGCGTGATGCTGACGTGGCGTTGCTGGCAGTGGGACGGCCTGTCTGGGCGTCGCTCCCTCTGTGGCCACAACTGCGCGCTGCTGACGTGGCGTCGTCGGCAGTGTAACCGGCTGTATTGCGCTACGTTGGGGCACCGCACGACCTTGGCCTTCGTCCACCCGCGCGTCTTCATTCACTTCGACATTGATGATGCGCTCGTCGCGAGTCGTCACCTGCGCAGATGACCCCCCAACGTTTGCACGAATGTTCGACGACAGTGACGGCGACTGAACGTCAGGAGCACCCGTCGAGAAGACGTCGTTATCATCGGTCCTGCTAGGTCTTCCCCACCCATCCCCGTCCGTTCGGGCGCCGCCGAATGACGCGACATCTCGGTGATCCTTTTTCGCCTTTGTCACTTGCCGCCCTCCTCTGAGGTGCATCACGCTTCTTGCTGCGTGCATGAGAACCTCCTCCGCCCCTTGGAGACATGGCCTTGCTTGACGCCGCGCTACTACGTCCCGCAGCGCTTCACTGCTGTAGACGTCTGTCCCGGAGGTGAGCCAACGACGCTCCACACTGGCAAGGAGCGCGAGTACCGCCTTCCCGAAGAATGTCCCACTTCGTCTGATCTACAAGGTGACTGCCCGCGTACGTGGCTGACGATGGACGCTGATGGCGCACTGCGAGCGGATGATGGTGGATCGTGGAAAACAACAAGCATGCAATGTCGCGGCGAGGGAGTGGAGGTATTTGCAGGATCCGCGACGGAGGTGAAGGTTCCGTTGGCGCGGAGTGGTTCGCCCAGCTGTGGACCGTGATTTATACTGCTGGCGGCCTTGTCCTTTCAGCTGTTAGAGAGCGACGATGACTCGCAGGGAATGATCAGCGGAAAGATCAGCACAACGATCAACCCAACAGGCACACGTCCGACTACACAGAGGACCGAAAAAAAGAATATATATATAGAAAATATTAATTTCGTGTCTGTGAGCGAAGGAAAACCCTGACAAGCGCAAGCGCGGATTGACAGACAGCACACGAAGGAATGGTCTACATCGTCATATGACCACGCGGCAACGATCTCCATGAGAGCGTGGCACATCATCTTCTACATTTCGTCGGATGCCGCATAATGCGCTCTTTGAACCGCTAAATCCTGCTCCAGTATGTCGCATTGCCTGGTCAAGATACTGCATTGCCGCTTGCTCGACGAATTGATCGTTGATGCCATGAGTTGCCCATGTCGGTCCATCACATCAATGATTGCCTCGAAAGTCTGCTGACGTGCATTCTTCCGCTTTCCGCCTCCGGCCCCGCTACCTGCGTTTTGATCAGAGTCCCTGGCCGAAGAACGGTTGTCTGAGCCGCCATCACCGCCAGTTCCCACAGACTCCCCACCTCCCGCTCCTCGCCTCGGCAATTGCACCCCTTTCGGACTACCAGTGTCGACGATGTTGGGAGGGAAAATGGTGTGGCTGCCGAGCATTCTCGCATGGATCTCGTTGTACAACACTCTCTCTATCCTGAACTTGAAATTGTGCTCCTTTCGCTCTTCGTTCGACAACCTGAAGAAATCCGCCTGGCCGCTCTTCCCCTGAAATCTTTGTATCTTCTTGTAGTTCTGAAACAGATTGTCCCACTTCTTGGCACACTGATCGACTTCTTTCGGCGTCCCCATGTTGGCCATCCGTTTCGCAATGTCGTCCCACTTCCACTCCTTGTTCACATCCGGCCGTAATTGTGACCCAGCCCTGCTAGGTGCATGTCTTGCTCCCGCTTACATCTCACAAGCCGCAATTGGTCGTCCGTCGACCAATATGTTGCCGACTTCCCACCATCGTCGGATGCGCCTCCTTTGCTGCCCCGCCCACCGGATCGACCACGACCACCGCCTCTGCCCCGTCCTTTCCCCCTCCCTGTCGTCTTCCCCAACGACCGAATTTCGACGTCATCGTCGTCGTCCACTGCCTCCATGTCCTCAATGTCTCCATCGTCATCGTCATCACGAAATGCCGCATCTTGAACATCGCCATCGCTGTTTGCCCGCATGTTGGACACTCCTCGAATGATGTTGTCCACAGTAGGTCGTGGGCAAGCCGGTGGTCTACAAGCGGCGGCGTCTCTCAAGTCCGCCTGCGTAGTTCTGCTCGGGTTCTGCATGTCCAAACGACCACCGCCGATGCGCACGTGGCCCGCTGCCAATTCGGCAGGCGCGGGAGCCGTCTCTACTCCGTTCGCAGGACCACGCACTCTTGCCATGCTGCTGCTTAGGGGGTGAAGGCCGAACACTGACATTAACGGACACACCGGCTTCAAGTTTGCACTGCTGGGTCTGCGCACTTCCTGCACGTTGAAGGGAACGTGGCGAAGGCTCGGGGTTGATGATGAACGTACAGGTCGCTGCCGTCGCACCGCCGGACGACAAGCCGAACCTCAGATCGACCTGCCCGTCGTCGTCGTCTTCCAAGCCTTCCTGCAGGAGGGACGTGAACTCGCCACCCGTGTTGCACTAGGACCTGCCGGCTGCCACCGTCTGCGACCACATCTGCATCGACCCACTGCCCAACGGTAACGTCGTGAGTTCCTCCGTCTTCGGTTCCTCGTCCGACGGGGGCAACGGCTGCTCGTGCGGTGGTAGATGGCTGTACAACAATGGGTCGTACCGCCGTCGACGCACCGCCGTGCAAGATCTTACTCCGCCCTGCCCTGCCGCCGGTTCTCTGCCTGCATCGAAGTTCGCCATTCGTAGTTGCATGGAAGGCCGTACCGTGGACGCCCGTCGTTTGCGAGGTTGCTTCCACGGGCGGAACGCGAAACAGACGTGGAGGAAGACGACAAACGAGAAGGCGACGACGACGAGTAGCAGCAGAGGCAACCTCCTATACACGTCTGCCATGAATGTCGCCTTCGGATGCAGCATTACGGACAGGCACTACAGAACACGTCGTCCGGCATGCCGACAGATCGGACCGCAGTACCTTCATATGTCGTTGTACGCACAAGACGACACAAGCGGACGCCAACAGTTCAAATTTCGACCGTTGGGGCCCATCCACTGCCTGCCCGTCGTCGGTATGTCATGCTGCGCGACTCGGCGTCCTCCTTCGAGTTTCGCATCCAAGCCAACGGTCGACTACGGACGACAGGGCACCCCCGCTCGCCCTTCGCGCTCCACCCCGCCCGCCAACGGCTACCGCTGGTGGCCGTTGCCCCCCTCGGCCCGCTGAATGCCTCAGATGTCCGACCCCGTGGCCCGACGGACAACTTCTGCACCACGGAGTCCGAGACGGCAGTGCCATGCATGCGACGCCACGACTCCGCCAAACGCGGTTTTCTAAATTTTTCAGTAGGTCCAGGGCTACTAAAAATTTAAGGATATTTTGCCTGGGGAATCCTAAATTCTTTAGGACGAGTCCTAAGGCCGTTTTCACATTTTCGATCTCAAAATCGGATTTAGGAATGCGTGCAACCACGAAGCAATCCTAAAAACTGGCACTTTTAGGAGTGTCTAACG